ACAAAAACATTATACCCTGATTTCCCATTTTCAATGGGTTCAGGGTATAACAAATCAAATGCCTACGCACAGCTCTGTTGACTGTGTGTGTGTGCGTGTGCAAGGGCTGCTGGTTTGACTGTTGTCAGCTGGGCAATGGTCATGCCGATGTTCATGGCATTCTGGGCGACGCTGTGCGCTGTCAACAATCACGAACCAATTGTCTATAAATACCAGGAACGTTAAGGCAAACTCACTCACAGCGCACCCCCAGCGCCCCAGTCCGGGCTCAGTTCGAATCCCCCGCAGACTACGCACAGAACTCTGCTCATGGTCATGCCTGGCGCTCGCTCTGGGTGTGCGTTTGGGCCATACCATGTATGGTATGCCATATTCTGGGTATACACTGGGTGGCCCATTGCAACTTCCGCTCTGTCGTTTTTCATTACATCGCATGTAACTTCCGGTTTGTTAAAGCGACACGCACTGCGACTCCCACAATTGTCCCCCTCGGCATGCCCCCCTCTCTCGGCCGCGCTGGGTCTCTCACGCTGCTCGTTGTTATGGCGCTGACATCCGTGCAAACAAACGAACCATCGAACGTACGTAGCGAGCGCCACTAGGCAGGCGGGCAGTCAGACTCGAGTTGTCCCTATGCTCCATTCAGGAGCCGCCTCCGCCCGCCCGCCGAAACCACGCCCGCCCCTGTTTGTCCGCACGTTTAGACTGGAAATGACAAATTCACTGTAGGTGGGCTCTATTGCTCTTGGTCTCTTGGCCGTCACAGTCGCCGTCGCCATCGCGCTTAACTCCTCCAACACGTTTGCGACTCAGCAAACACCATCATCAATTTCCGTGGGGAAATCACACAAAATTTTTAGCACAAACAAAATGTTTGCTTTCGCTGCCAGCCAGCAGCCAAACCGATTTTTGCATGCCACGCTCTCTGTGCCATATCTCGGCTTATCTGACCGATCAATCGGTTAACGGGAGTGAAAGCTCGGTGCGCTTCCTGCCTTCTATTCCACTTTTTTTTTGCCTGCCAAAAGCTAAAAGAATTAGTAAATACTCGCAGAGCGCTGAGTGTTGCATGGACATGCAATCGTTATTTGATGTGACGGCTCGAGGGTTTTTGCAACTGATTTCAAGTCAAGCGACAGTTTTTTTTTTTTTTCTGGTGGGAGGATCGAACAGAAAGATTCATACTTTCTTTTGTAAAGGAAATATTTCCTAGTTTTTAGTTATTTGAAAGTTTTAGCATATGGAAAAGCAGCAGGTGGATATACGTATGAATAATAAAATTGTAATGAAAGCCCAAAGTTTGAGATGTTGAAAGCTTCAAGTGTTTGTCAGTTTTAACTTTGTTAGAAATTCATCTTGTCAAAAATCTAATGCATTGTCAAGAAGATCAAGTGAACAGAATTAAGTATAGAATCATGTTATATTCTTGCTTTTATTAGATTCCGACCATGGAACGACCATTGAAATTTTAAATATATATTATGAATGTCTTACCAACCGAAGGCTGACAGTGCTTCGTCTTCAGTTACCTTGTTAATAAATAAATAAATAGATATCTTAAAATCTAGTGAGGAAAATGAAAATATCGTACTTGATACATGTAACTTATATGTGTATGTGTCTTCTATAAAAATATTATAAAATATTAATTTCGATTTCGTTTGCTTTCAGTAACTTCTTCTAGCTGCAGCACCTGGATTTTCGATTTAGTGATTGATGAGAACTAAAAATTGATAACTAATATTTCATATATAATATTTATTTATATAGTGTTATTTTTTATCGTTAAGTGTTTTTATTGTGTTCTTAATATATTTTATTTTTTAGGAAAGCAAAAGAAATATATAAAAATATAATATATTCTTTATGAAATACCATGTAATAATAAAACTATTATTGTTCTATTTGTTCTAATGTTAAGACATATTCTAAAATCTAGCAGCAAGCTTATTCCTACAAAACTCCACGTCGTTCCTTTATTCCTACATCTGGTATAATTTGAATAGAGCGCATAATGTGGCATGACAAAGTGGAGTTGGCGCTATTTAGCATTATTTCAACGCGCCTTTAGTGGAAATCCAAGCGTAAACTCAACTGTAGTCAGTTTGGTTGCCTTAGCTGCAATCTTAGCCGGCTAATCTCTCAGATTTCTTTGCTGTGTTGAGCACACTAACACTCTCTTTGCTCGCTCATTCGCTCATTCGCTCTCTCTCTCTCTTTCTCTCTCTCTCTCTCACACACACACTCTCTCTCTCTCTCTTTCGATGATGGCACTCACCGTTCTTTCACCATGGGCAACAAATTAACGCGAGCGCTGTGAATGCTGCAGAAGCAAGAAAAATAAGAAGAAGAAGAAGAAGCAGGAGCAGAAGCAGAAGCAGAAGTAGAAGCTGTGAAAGCTTTGTTGGAACGGTGAATGTAATTACTTTAATGTGACCATTTGCCGGCACTGCTGAGCTGGCCGTGGCCCAGATAAAGATAAACTTTTGCAATTACAACGCGTCGCAAACGAAGCAGAAATACAAAGCGCAGCGCCAACTGATGGCGCTGACCAGCAACTGGAGAATACGCATGCATATATACACATATATATATATGTATACATATATATATGTATATGTTGCAAAGGCTGGCAGCTCGATAGCATCGAATCAGTTTACTTTTAGTGCATTTTCCTTTTGCTGCTGGCTAATTAGTGCGCAGAGCGAAGACCGTTGAGCTTAAAGTCGCGTCTCATAAAATTATGCGCACTGGCATGAACTTGTAAAGGCTTTAATAAACAACAACACCAATAGCAACAACAACAACGCGTTGGAAAATTCGTCCTGCGAAGACAGTTAACAAATGTAGTCAACTAGAAGATATGCTGTGAATATGCTGAAAGAAAAGCATATGATAGACATAAATAGATCGGGAGATCTTAGTGTGAGTCTAAAATATATGATTTATTTTGTTAAAATAAGGCTTCACTAATTAAAGAGAAAACATTGACATTTTGATGGAACATCTTATGGAATAGTTTAATGTGAAGACAGACAGATTTGTCTAGATTAAGTTCAATTAGTTCGATTTGGCAACCCCTAAAAATAAACGAGATTTTATAAATGACTTTATTGACAAGACCAGACTTGGCTAGCTGGAAAAGTTAAGTTTTTCCTGCTCCAATAAGACCAATAAACCCTTCTCTAATAATAGCACAGAAAATAGCTCTAAAATAAAGAAACCTTTGCTCTACATACCTTCCCAATCGTCGAGTATACTCTTCAAAGGAGACTTTCAATGGGTATTCCACGAAAAAAAAAAAAGAAAGAAAAACATATGCAAGACAAGGCTACGTTACGGCCGGAAGGAATCATGTCCCGACTTAGGTGGTCCTGGCTACACATAAACTTTTGATGACTTTTTGAAAGTTTTACGCTCCAAAGTGGAGCACAAATTACGCGAACTTGCGGGGGCGTGGCGCGTTGGCAAAATAGGCGGCCCACGCTGTAGTGCCAAAAACAACAATAACAACAACAACAACAATAACAATAACAACAACAATGACGGCGGTGGCATTAAAACGTCAACAGATTGCCGAAAACTGTGCGTCCAACAAAATGAAATCC